TTTAATTGCCTTCTTGCGCTTGGACAGTTTGCTGGACGGCATGCGGGCTCTGACCTGTTGAACTTTCATCACGCGTGGTGGACTCGGACGTGATGATTTCTCGGCCATCTGGCGCTCCGGTGTTTGTGTAGGCTGATGCGGTGGTAGCAGAAATGGGTAGTTCATGCACAGGGAGTTGCAGTATTTATAGGCTACAGTCGCTTTGCTATTGCATACTTGTGACAATTAACGACTCCCCTATCGAGGATAATTGTCCGCTTGTTTGATGGCCGGCGTGCGGCCGTAACCTGCTGAACTTTTATCCCCCGCGGTGGAGATGGACGTGGCGATTGCTCCGCCGTCTGTTTCCTCGGCGCTAGCGTTAGCCGACGCGTTGGCCTATGCGTTCCCCAAATGGTGGCTTGCTTTGGCCAAACTGAATCTCAGCACCGAATGTGGATTGGGCAGGTCGTTGAGCTTGGTTGTAGATGGGGGCCACGACTGAAGTAACTCGTGACTCACAGGATTGTCAACTCTCGCGAGAATTTTGGCCCCATCAGATTTCAATGTGTGGCTCGATCTCGTCGAACGAGAGAATTGCCGGCACTTTTCCGTACTGCTGCCACGTGTTCAGCGATTTGCGTCTTGAGGAGTCTTCCAGTTTCTCCGACGTAGTTGCTTTGTCCGCAAAGTGTGCAGTATTATTGTGACTGTATCCTACAACAACTCTGTGCGGATGATCTACCTGTTTCTGCTACCATCTCGGAGGAGGGATCCGCAACAGATTCCGAAACGTCAGGCAAGTAAAAGTATAGTCCCAGCGATCACATCTATTTCTCCTTAATCCCGCATTCTCGTGGGTGGAATAGAAAGAGTGGGAGAGCGTGTGGATAGCTCCCTTTCGGACTTCCTGCTTCGCAGTGTGAGCTTTATGACGTGCTTATGCAGTCCAGGACTTCGCCCCAAAATTCATATCAACTTTCGGAGATAAAGGCTAGGACAGACTGATTTTCTTGGAGTAAGCAATAAGTATCCGAGGTAATTACAATGAATCTATTTAAAAACTTGCGTTTCTACCAGAAAGCTCGCAGTTACTGCTGGAGGACCCATTAATGATCCGAAACCCTCGCAGCTTTGTTACCCAGCGGCAGAAATATCGGCGAAGCACGCCTGTCTCGGTCGCTATTTAGGAGCTGTGCTGCCAGTATCACGTAACCATGGTATATACTACTGGATGCCTATCGTTAGTTGAATGCATATTACGCAGTTATCCCCACCGTGGCTAATGGACTTCAACCCATATATTCATGCGAACTTTCGGTCTGCGTCTATACAGCTTACTTTAGGCTGATTTACGCCAGATTAGCCATTAATTTCTGAGGATATTAAAAGCCACAACTTCAGAACTGGACTATCTGCCAGAAAGCCCACGGGAGTGCTGATAAACCTCTAGCGACTAGTCTCCGCACGCAACCCTCGCCTATCGCGGCTCAGAGGGGCAGCTGCGCTGTTAGAGGACACACTCGTCCGTCCATGGTGCCATTGGGGCTCACAGGCACACGTATCTGCCGCTGTATACCCCTGATCAAATACCGGCAAGACAACGAGCTCGTAGCCCAGTGGTTAGGGCGTTTGACTCTGACCAGAGAGGTCGAGAGTTCGAGGCCCGGGTGTGTCACCACTTGGATCTGGGTATGACTAGCTGACGATGGCTAATAAGCCAGAAATGGCCATCCTGGTCTCCCTTGCCGCTTTGCGGGGTAGGGTCGAGTGTGAG